CGAAGACCTCCGTTGTTGCCGTCCTTTTTGACCTGGAAAAGGCTTAAGACACCACTTGGAGATATCATATTGTATCTCAACTTCATTCTTTTGGCCTTCGTGGTCATCTCCCTCTCTTTCTCCGCAGCTTCCTCTCCCGTCGTTCCTTTCGGGTGCGCCTTGGTACCGCGCACTCTGCCTCTTTTCAGCAATACGAAGGTGTGCCCCAGGGTAGTGTTCTGAGCACTACTCTTTTTCTGGTTGCCCTCAATGGTCTTCTTTCTTCTCTTCCTTCTGGTGTCTTCTCCGCTCTCTATGTCGATGATCTTACCCTTTGCTGTCAGGGTGATGATTCGCCTCTTCTTCAGCGCCGGCTTCAACTTGCAATTGATGCCGTGTCGTCTTGGGCCACCGATCATGGCTTCAAGTTCTCTACTTCTAAGACTTGTGCCATGACTTTTACGCGGAAACGGGTTGTTCTTCGTCCCTCTTTGTCACTTTATGGTCATCCCCTTGAATACAAAGATTCCGCAAAGCTTTTGGGGTTATTCCTTGACACTCGTTTGTCTTGGTCTTCCCATATCTCTTACCTCCGTGTTGAGTGCTCTAAGCCCCTTTCCCTCCTTCGGGTCTTGTCCCATACTTCTTGGGGAGCAGATAGGCGCACTCTCCTTGCTTTACATTCCTCTCTCGTCCTGTCTAAGCTCGATTATGGTTGCCCTGCTTACTCGTCTGCTTCTCCTTCTACTCTTCGCCGTCTTGATGCTTTGCACCATACTGGGTTGCGCCTCAGTTCTGGTGCCTTTCGTTCGACTCCCGTCCTTAGCTTGTATGTTGACACTGGCTTCCTGTCTCTCCAGGACCGCCGTGATCGCTACTGTCTTCGCTATTTTGCACGGTCCTTACAACATCCTTCCTCTCGCCTCTGTCGTGCTTTAACTTTTACCCCTCCTGCGGTTCTGTTCCTCTTCACTACCTCCCTCTTTCTGTCCGGTTATCTCGCCTCCAGGATTCTCTTTCCGTTCGTATTTCTAATGTTTCTCCTCGTATTGTTCCTTCTTTGCCCCTGTGGAGAGTCCCTCTTCCGCGGTTTTGTACTTCCTTGACCCGTATCACTAAAGCTTTTACCCCTCCTACGGTTCTAAAACGCCTTTTCCTTGAGCACTTTTCTTCTCACTCCCGCTCCGTTTCTGTCTTCACCGATGGGTCTAAGTCGGCAGACGGTGTTGGCTACTCTGTTGTTTTTTCCTGATCGCACTTATATGTGTCGCTTACCTCCGGAGACTAGTATCTTTACAGCGGAACTTTATGCTATTCTCTATGCTCTTCGTCTCCTGCTTTCTCGTCGTCAGTCCTCCTTTGTAGTTGTTGTTGACTCTCGTAGTGCCCTCATGGCTCTCGGGTCCTTTAATCCGGTTCATCCAGTAGTTGTCGAGATCCAGCATTGGCTGTTTCTTGTTCACAGTAAATTTAAGTCGGTTGAGTTTTGTTGGGTTCCCAGCCATATTGGTGTGTCTTTCAATGAGCGTGCGGATGCTGCCGCCAAGGAAGCTGTCCGCTCTTGTCCCATCTCTCGTAAAGGCATTCCGTATTCCGACTTTTACCCGGTTATCCATTCCTCAGTCCTTACCCGTTGGCAGGCTTCTTGGTTGTCTGTTACTGGTAACAAGCTACGTACTCTTAAATGTTGTTTCTTCGTGGCCGTCCTCCTACCACCGTAACCGGCGGTGGGAAACAGCTCTGGCGGGATTGCGTATTGGCCATACTCGCTTAACCCATGGTCACTTGATGGAGCGCCGCCCTGCTCCTTATTGTCCTAGTTGCATTGTCCCTCTTACGGTCGTGCATGTCCTTCTTGAATGTCCTGACTTCCAGGACGAGCGTGTGTCGTGTGTCTTGCTTTCCGACCGCCCCTTGCGGTCACCTGTCCCTCAATAGAATTCTTGGTGACTCGGATACTTTTGATATCTTTCGCCTTATGCGTTTTTGTTCTCGTATTGGCATCCTTGGTGATATCTAGCGCCCTCTGATTATTTTGCGCATTTGATGGTGCTACATAGCCTTCCCGGTTTGGTGCCTTCTTTTGATAATTACTTACTTACAGAGTATTTATGTTGCAAAATTCTACATTTCAATTCTTTAGATGTTTACCCAACATAGAACCTATTATAGTCTTTACAAGGTATTTTATAAATGACAGTTATCACTACGCAGGCTGTTTCTAATTAGTTTACCAACAGTATTTTTGTAATTAAACAATACATGTATATCAAAGTTTCAAGGCCTTGTCCATGTTTTCAAACCCAGAGAAATATGGTAAACATAACACAATCTTTGGACGAATTGTCTCACTGCATATATTATAATATGTACGACGTGCTTTGCTGTGGCAAACTTCCAAAAAACTCAGTGGATAACAAAGCTTGAGACCAATACAATCAATATTCTTAAACCCTTCATCTAAGAATTCTTGAGAAACAATTTGAAGAGCTCTTAGATACACAGAGGAAAAAATAATTTTGTTCACATTGTATCTGTCCTGAAAAATAATGAACATAAGATAAATTATTCGTAGGTTTCTGTAGACACTAAACTTTAGTGAAAAATCTTTCCTATGAATAAGTATATCTAAGAATAGCAAACTTTTATCAATTACAGTTTCCATAGTAAATTTTATAGAGGTGACTTGATTATTAAGTTTAGCTACAAATTTGTCTGTGTTGACATCTGTATCTTCTTCTTGAGATCTTCTTCTTGAGATGATTTCGGGGCTTTAGTGATTCGCGGGGCTTCTCTGCGGCCGGGTCCTCGACCAGGCCTCCACCCCCAGGAAGCAGCTCGTGACAGCTGACTAAACACCCAGATACCTATTTACTGCTAGGTAACAGGGGCATAGGGTGAAAGAAAATCTGCCCCTTGTTTCTCGCCGGCGCCCGGGATAGAACCCGTGACCACAGGATCACAAGTCCAGCGTGTTGTCCGCTCGGCCGACCGGCTCCCGACCGACTGTAGGCCATATACCCAAAATATTATCAACATATCTAAACCAGGGAATGATTCCAGGGGTAATTTATGAAACAAATTTCTTTTCAAAGAATTCCATGTACAAATTTGAAAGCAATGATGATAAAGGGTTCCCCATTGCCATTCCAAAAGTCTGTAAATAATACTCATTAATAAAGGAAAATTTACATTCTTTTCCCAACATCCCAACAGCACTTGGTGGTAAGTTTGGGCATAGATATTTCATCGAATTAGCTCACTTTGTAGGGTCACGTGAGCAACGCAAATGCGAACAAGCTTGAGTTTTCTGGGGTGTGGAGTTTTCAGTTGCATATTGGCTTGGGGACCTTTCAAGCTTGTTCGGTTTTTGTGTTGCTCACGTGGCCCCCACAAAGTGAGGTAATTCGATGAAATATCTATGCCCAAGCTTACCACCTAGTCTGTCGGGATGTTGGGTAAATAGCCTTGGCTACCAATGTCTTTTGTAAAGTCAGTTGGTTGAGCGGTTAAAGAACCGGGTACGCCATGGTGCAGAGTGCTCCTGGCTGTCTGGGTTCGAATCTTTGCCTTTCCAGTGAATGCAATTTAAGCTTTGTTAATCTTTATTCATATGACAGGTTTCTAATTTGGGGGATTAACTTCCTTCCTACGCTGGACACGTTCAAGTGAATTCTATTCTATATCCATTCTATAGTACGGCGACCAAAGATGAACTGCATAATCTAAATGGGGCCTAATCAGAGCAAGATATAGCCGAAGAACAACACCAGGTGTCTTTTTACTAACACTTTGATTAATAAATCCCAGTGTCCTTTTTGCCTTATTACGAACATTCATGCATTAATCTTTTGATTTTAAAGTCTTACTAATCATAACTCCCATATATCCCTTTCACAATCCGACTTAGCAATCTCAACACCATCTAGCTCGTATCTTGTAACTCTATCATCATTACCTAGCCTCAAAACCTTACACTTATCAGCATTAAACTGCATCTGCCAATCTTTTGACAGTTTCAAAACCTTATTTAGATAATCTTGAAGTGATAGTGAGTCTCTTTCCGTGTTTATATCCCTACCGATTTTTGTATCATTGGCAAATTTACAAATATTGCTGCTCGAATCTGAGTCTAAATCATTTATACATTTCTTAGTTAGGAGCAAGGGAGGGTGCTTGTAACTCCACGTATAGAGACGGGGGAAGGTGATGTGTGGAGACGGGGGAGTGTTTGTTTTACTTATGTGGTACATTCTTTGGCGATTTTTAGGTGTTTGACGAAATTAGTTGTAGGGTAGAGAAGGTTATGAGGGTTAGAAATATGGTGGAGGGTAGGGAAGGATGATGGGTAGGGATGGTTGTAGGGTAGGTAAGATGGTGTAGGGTAGGTAAGGTGGTGGAGGGTAAGGAAGGTTGAAGGGCAGGGAAGATGGTGAAGGATAGGAGCGTTTGTGAAGGATACAAAAGATGGTAAAACAAAAGGAAGATGGTAAAAGGATGGCCTGCTGGTGAAGGGAAAGAACGATGGTGAAGGATAAGAAAGGTGGTAATGAGTAGTGTAGTTTGTGACGGAAAGAGATGGTTGTAGGGAAGTTATGCTAATAAGTAATTACGAAAACGAACCAAACCTAGAAGACTATAATGCACAGTCAGGTTTGAGGGATACTGGAAAGGCGCTAAGTATCATCTAGGATGTCAATACGAGAGCAAAAGGATATAAGGCAAGTGACATCAAAATCATCGGATTCACAAAATGATGTTATCCAGAGACAAGAGACGCAGAGGAACAGTCGGAAAGCAAGACCCGAGCAGCCTGAACATTGGGACATTCTACAAGGAGGTGCGTGACTGGAAGGTGGACGCTGCAGTTCCGATAAAAAGGGATCAGATAAGGAATGTAACGAAGATGATTAATGAAGATAGGAAACTCATGCAATGGTGAGGAGAGTAAAGACAGTTTCAGTGACCAATACAGCAAGGCATCTTTGAGAAACAGGGAATATTTCGAGTCATTCACTTACCCATCTATTAATGGTGAGTCCTTGAGGAGAGCCTTAGCCGTGTCCAGCCTCTGCTGGAGTCCAGCACTTGAGTCGACCCTGAGAGCTATGGGCAGAGACACGCCCACGCCCGCCACACCTGCCAGTACAAGCACCAGGCACACTCCGCCCCACACGTGTGCTGGAAAATCCAAGC